TCAGATAGAGAGTTCAAAAAATGGGCAAAGGACCTGAGTAGATACTTCTCAAGGAGGACATACAGATGGCCAATAGACATATGTAAAGGTACTCCAAATCACTAATCATCAGAGAGATGCAAATTAAAACTACAGTGTGGTATCTCCTTACACCTGTCAAAATGGCTATCATCAATAAATGATCAAACAAGAAGAGTTGGCGATGATGTGGAGAAAAGGGAACCCTTGTGCACTATTGGTGGGAATGCAGATTGGTGAAACTGCTGTGGAAAGCAGTATGGAGTTACCTCAAAACATTAAAAATGGAATTGCTTTATAACCCAGCGATTCCACTTCTTGGAATATATACACTGAAACCTGAAACACTGATTTTAAAGAACATTTGTACCCTATATTCATTGAAGTGCTATTTACAATAACCAAGACTTGGAAGTGGCCCAAATGTCCATCAGCAGGTGAGTGGATAAAAAAAAAATATGTGGTACATTTACACAATGTAATATTACTTGGTCATTAAAAAAGAAGGAAATCTTACCTTTTGCGACAGCATTCATGGACCTGAAGAGCATTATGCCAAGTGAAATAAGCCAGTCAGAGAAAGAAAAGTACCATATGATTTCACTTATATGTGGAATCTAATGAACAACATAAATTAAGAAACAAAATAGAAACAGACTCATAGTTACAGAACAGACTGACAGCGGTCAGAGGAGAGGGGAGCTGAGGGACTGGGTGGAAAATGTAAAGGGATTAAGCAAAAAATAAAGTCATAGACACAGAAAACAGCATGGTGATTACCAAAGAGGAAGTGGGGTCGGTAGAAGTAGAAGAAGGTTTAGGGAGGATACATGGTGATAGAAGGAGACTGACTTGTCTTGGGGTGCTGAACACACAATACAATATACAGTTGATGTATTATAGAACTGTATACTTGAAACCTATATAATTTTTTAACCAATGTCACCCCAATAAATGAAATAAAAATTTTAAATTAAAAAATGAAATTGAATAAAAATAGCAGTATAAGCATGTTATTTAGAAACATAAAATTTATGCCAATAGAAACAGTTAATAGAGCTAAAATTACTTGGCTTTGCTTTAAAAGTGTAGACTATGGCACTAGACTTCCTGGGTTTGAATCCTACTTCTACTCCTTACTAGTTGGGTGACCTTAGTCAAGTCACCCAAGTTCTCTGATGCTCATTCTCTCATTTAAAAAATAGGGAATAATAACAGTGTTTATCTTAAAAAGGTTTCTCAGGACTGAGCTAATACTTAGAATAATGCCCAACAATAAATAAATGCTTAGTATTATTGATGCATATCAGAAACTGGGGTGAGGAGGGGATTGTTACTTCTTGCAATTGACTATTAGTAATATTTGACTTTTTTAATTACACAAGTATTGCTTTAATATAAAGAGCTTTAAATTTTTTTAGAATAAATTAGAAGTGATGAAATGGAAAATCTTTTAAGAAATTTTCTGTGGGGAGAAACTAAGATGGCGGCAGAGATAAACACCGGGAAGTTAATGCCGCTCACAACAATTGATTAATACCTCAGAGAAACAACACGGACTTCATCCAGAACCACAGGAAGCCTGGCTGACTGTAAACTCTACAACTAGAAGGAAGGAAAGGCACACTGAGACCCGCAGAAGCTGCAGGGGAGAAGCGCAGAGG